TTCTATTTTGGGCCATGTTTGGAGAGAGTTAAAGCTGCTGGAAATTGGAGTTTTGAGACTCAATCTCTCTTGTAATATTATCAAATTAGTAAGCAAAGTCTCGTGCCATTCTCCTGTAGATGTAGGTCATGTTTTGTGACCAAACCACATTAAATCTTTGTGCTCTGTGGGTTGTTTGCTACTGTATTTTCATGCATTATGTTCTTTTGATGCCATGCTATTTTTATTGTTTATTTATATTGATATGGATGCACAATATTTTTCATTTCATTATGTTCTTTTGATGCCATGTTATTTTTATTGTTTGTTTATATTGATATGGATGCACAATATTTTTCATTTCATTATGTTCTTTTCATGCCATGTTATTTTTATTGTTTGTTTATATTGATATAGATGCACAATAACTGTTATAAACTGTTGTTGATTTCTCCCCATGGTTGTTGATTTCTCACCATTGTTGCTCATTCTGCCATTTCCAATATCTATCCTTCCTTGGCTCCTTAATATATCATTCCAATGGTTTAAAAAGCGGATCGGTGTCCCGGATCGGGCACCCAAAAAACCGATCCGGATTGGCTAATCGGCGATACGGATCGGGAATCAGGTGAATCGGTCAGAACAAAGCTTCAAAAAATTTCGAAAAAATTATTAAAATTCATTATAAATATTGTTTTTTAGGAATTCAATAAGAAATGAGGGTACTCCATTAAGAATTTTCATGTTTTTACATGAATATGTGAATATTGATATGTTCTTTCCCTGCATGAACTACGATTCAGCATTTAATTTACATCACACAAAAGGATAAACATAGAATTATCATGGAATAAGAATATCAACATACATGGACTACAATAAAGCATAAAATTAGTAACATACGATCTAAAAATAAAATGATAGACGATGTTGTTGTTCGTCTTGGTCACGCTGATGCTATTGATTGAATTCGTTTGACAATTCATTGATTCGATCTAAAAACGAATCATCGATACTATTCTCAAATCCCTGAGTGTTAGTGTTTTGTTGTGTTCCCAATCCAAAATCCCCGAAGCTTGTCCATCCTTCATGCTCACCTGCATTGTCGTGCTCATCCTTACACTGTCGCTGTTGGGACTCGATATGTGAATAATATGGTTGGGATAGGGTGGCCTCCGAATCATCATCTCTCTCATTTTCTCTTAGACCCCCTTCCCACTCTCCCTCATTAGGTGCAATACCACCGACATCTTCGACGAATTGTGGATACGGTGGCTGGCTGCTTCCCTTTTCATGCTGCTCATCACTTTCTTCAAGATCTTCATCACCGATAGCCTCAAGGAATGCTCTCTTGTGCAACACTGGCTCCTCCTCTTTTACTACCCATTGGTCTGTTGTGTCTGTGACAAATATTATGTCTAAGTCTATCGGCCCATAGTCTTCAAGCTTCTTTCTTATTTGTCGCTCTCGGAGGTTTAAATTATAATGAACGTAGACTAGTGTATGAAGCTTCTCAGAAGCGAGTCGATTCCTCCTAGTAGTGTGCAACCATTGGAACGTACTTCAGTTGCGCTCACAGCCAGTAGCAGAACATGTCTGGGAGAGCACCTTGATTGCCATCCTCTTTAGGTGAGGTGCATCAGTACCATATATCTCCCACCTTTCAGCTAGATTAAAATGCAAAAAGCATTGTAAGGGCAAGAACAATTTATAAGATTAAATATATGAATGAACAAAATATTAGCGAGGGGAT